TATCTAACACACAATCACTTAAATACACTCATGTGATATAAATTAGCCACATACTTTAACAATAACATATAACATAACTGTAGACCAAAAATGGGAATGAACAACTCGCATGGTCTCAATATTTCCAAGGTAACATGAGCTATAAGCATGCTATTCAAGTGATTCCAAAACTAACAAGTAGTTAACACATATATACACAACTTTTATGTTGATCACTTAAGCCAAAAATAGATTTACAGCCGAGTTTAAGCGTAAGACACTTAGGTAAAGAAATCTGCCAACACAACTTTTATCAATTACAGCAGGTCGCTAAAATAGAGATATCTCATGCCACAAAATTCTAAATCATGCAAACTCAAAACTTACAGAAACTACACTTGAATTGCTATAAGTTCCAAGAAGAGCATTTTTACAAATAACCACGTTAAGGGCTTCATTTCAGAGTATACATTTTAATCGTAAACACAGCCACTGTTTTAAAAATCTGGGCATAACCCCAAATTTGAAAAATCATATAAAATCAAACAGAACTCCAACTAACATGATTCCAACTCTCAGAGAAACCTTATAACGTATACTACAAGTTTCATGTTGATAATATTTTCACATAGTCACATTAAGATTGTCAAAAACGGCCCAACATTATGATTCTCAATTCTGCCCGAAATTTCAAAAACTGCTTGCACAATCTTTTTGTAAAAATCATAACTCACTCAATTCTTAAGATAAAATCATAACATTTGGTATGAAGACTCATAAGACATATACAAATATGTCCAAAAAATTTTATAATTTTATCCTGAGTAGAACTCGAGTTATTCGCGTTTGAAGTCGTAGCTGAATTCTGCCATATAAAATCAACTTGCATACTTATCTTCAAAAATTTATAACTCGAGTTATACTAGTCTAAACGACTTGATTCTTGATCCTATGAACTCCTATTTTACACAAGCAACAGCTATATAAAGCATAGTTTCCCAGGTTTTTTATAGCACAGTCAAAAACGTCTATAAACATGACATATGGAACATGCAAGTGAGCTGGAATCATTTATACATTTTGCATGCTTATATATCCTTCATAACTGAACATATATGGCACATATCTATACCAATCGACTCCTTATCTCATCTATATTATGATTTTAAAAAGATTTTAGCACACTAACCTCTTAATCTTCAAGAAGAATGCAAAGAAAGTCGGGTATGCTCGGTTGTCTTGTTTGTTGCTTGAACTCGCGTTGCTTCAACTTCTTTGCTTCCTACTTGAAACTTGATGACACTAATATCTTCCTTGATAAATAGAGGATGAAGGAGAATGGTTA